CCCCCCGCCCCCCTCCCCGAACACACAGATGCGCAGTGAGAGGCATATCCCCGGCGACAGGCTACCCTACTCCTTTCCCCATGCCGAGCCGCGTGTGTCCGGCTCGTTCTCCGCCGATGATCGGCCCCGCTTAACACACGGCGTGGGCCCAGGAGACAAGCGTGGGCGAGCTGCTTGCACACATATCCATACGCTCGCATAGACGCAGATTGCACACCGGCCAACCGTTCTGCCGCAACTGGTGATGGAGAGGCAGCGGGCACAGGCAGCCGCCCAGCATGCATACCGGCGCACGCACACACGCACACACGGCTGGCCGTTCCCTGTGAAAGGCCTTCGCCGAAACACAGAGGGAACCCTGATGCGGCTGGCCGGGTCGATCCGCGCCCCGCTTCCCCACCCCCCCCCTCTTGAAGGGGCGCAGGAACACCAGGGCGCCATGTCAGGGTTTTTCTCCAGGAGCCAACGCTCCAAGACGGAGAGTTGGCACACCCCTGTCGCCAGTGCACGTGTGTAGCCATATCGCCTGACCGGGCTGCCGGATCCCCAGCAATCTTCGGCCACCACCGCCCCCCCCCCCGCCCCGATGCAGGCCGAGGCACGCGGCAGACAAACCAGCCCCCTGCAGGCCGAGGTGAAGGAAGGTGAAATATGTCTATGGGGGAGTTGTGCACGGCTGCAGCCGCCAGGGCTGTGCATGCGGCGGCGCGGTCAGACCGGCGAGTGCATGCCCAGACGAGTCCAGAAGTGGAGCTGGGCACGCTTTTGCGCGCGCGTCGCATCCCGGCGCTCCGAGCGTTTGGTCCACTCCGGCATCAGCAAGGCAAGGGGAGTGAGGACCAGGGGAACCGCCACGGCGGCGATCAGGTTGAATCGCCCATACAACACGGCCAGGGACAGTTCGGCCTGGAGCTGGCCCGGGGCGAAGATCGCCGGGAAGAGCAGCCCAATGGCACTCAGGAGGATACTATCGATGCGGGGGGCCGGGAAAAAAAAGAGGAAAAGAAAGAGAAACCAGCGGGTGAGTGTGTGCCCGAAAAGGGGGGGGGGGGGGGGAAACGGCCGGGAAAGGGAAGATGACAGGCCGAGGGCAAACCGGGGGCCCTGCACGCACCCCACCAGGCTGGTGATCGCCCACCAACGCGTGCGACCAGAACCCGGCGAACCAAAGATCGACTTCCAGGGATGGCGCAGAGCCAAGCTGCTCAGAGCAAACAAGTAGACAAAGGCCACCAGGGCGCATTGCTGCGCAGCCCATACTCGCCAAGGGATGCCCGAGGGGAATTGCGCCCCGGAGGACGAGTCCCCCGGGATGGCCAACGTGTCAGACCACACCGCCCGCACGACCGACCGAATGTCATACAAGGGAGTGATGTCCAGGAAGGCGGCAAGGGCCAGGTAGAAGGTGAACGGAACGGCCACCACCGCCGGGGCCAGACGCGAGAGGGCCAGCTTGACCAGCCGCGACAGCCGGCGAAGGGGACATGATGTGAAAACTATCACGGCCGGGATGGGGGGGCGACAGGAATGTTAGCCGCAGCTGCGAGAAGAGAGACTGCGATGGATGCGGAAGGGAGGGGGGGGGAAACCAGGGGGAGGAGAAAAAATAACCCCATCCCATCAACCAGCGAATGGTCGTGATATGCACACACACACACACACACACACACACGCACCGGGGAACTCATGGAGCAGGGACTTGCTCCAGTCGGTAGTCCAAGAGGCTGGGTCTCGGCGGAAGCTGGCAGCCAGCCCGGGGACCGGGGGCGAGTGTGCCGGGCTCCAGCCGGACCCGGCCGCCCGCGACCCGGCCCCCAGAGACAGGAACCCGAAGAGAGGAATCACCACGCAAGCGATCCACAGAAGGTGGCTCAGGCCAAAGGCCGGCGGCAGGCCAGCAAGCTCCGGCAGCAATGACGCCGATGCCGCAGCCCACGCACCAAGTAGACTGAGGATGGCCCCGGACCAGAGGACCGAGTGCAAGCGCCGAGCCGAGCGCAACACCGCGAGGACATCCAGCGGCGAGTGGGCCCGCGACATCGGCAACGTCACCGAGCAGGGAAGCGAGCTGATGATCGAAGAAATCGCATGCGGGTCGACATAGGGCAGTGGCAAATCCCCATGAAGAAGGGCAGAGGCCGGACCGAGCCCAGGCTCCTCATCATCGGACCCCTCGCCATGGCCCGATGCTCGGTCACCCTCGCGGCCGCCGACCGGCAGGAGCAGCGGATCACACGAGCCAACCGGGCCGCCAGTGGCCAGAGGCGAGGATGCATTGCTTGGAGCCGTGGCGCTGGCAGACCCCCCGGCCGGGCCCTCCTCGAGGTCCTCCTCCTCCTCATCCTCCTCCTCGAAGAGCTCCTCTTGATCTTCATCAAAGCTGGCCCCGGCGCCGGAGTCCGACCGACCGCCCCGACGCAGGGTGCCCAGGTGCCGGAGCTGCCAGCGCAGGAGCAAACTGGCCAGGGGGGTGGCATCGAGGCCGATGGCCACATGCGCCTGGGCGAAGCCATCCAGGTTGGCCGAGCGCGCGGCCGCCCCGGCCGCACAAACTATGCGACCATTTTCCGCATAGATGGAGATCATTTCCGATTGGACCCCAGGGCGGCCGAGTGCGATGGCCAGGCTGCGCGGTGCACGAATCCCCGAGCCAACCGACGAGGCGCGCGACCCGGCCAGCGATGTGGCCCGACTGGGGCGATTCCTACGGCCGGGGCCGTGGCGCATGGGACGCCGACCGGCAGCCGCGGCCGTGGCATCAGCCGCGGCCAAGGCCGCCGCCGCGGCCGACGAGGGCCCCGGCGCCCGAGTGGACATCTGCCGGGCCACCGCATGGGAAATCGGCGGCAGGGACCCCCGAGCTCGGGCAAAGATCTGCACCAAGAGTGGGACATCGTCCACCCGACGCAGATGTGGCCGGATGGCGGAGATCCCGCGCGGGAGCTGGGACTTCTCCAGGGCCATGGTGTCGTCCCCATCCTCGACAAAGTTGAACAGGCCGTCCACCGTGCCGTCGGTGTTCATGTCGGCCATGGCCGCCGCGGTGCTCTCCAGCAGGGAGGGATCACTCGAGGGGGGCGACTGCTCCATGTGCTGGAGATGTGAGTGCAGCCCGCCGGCCGGTCTCGGGTCCGCCAGCGAAATGCAGCAGTTCCAGTCGGTCGGCAGCCCGAGGCGCACGGCGAAAGCTTTGGCCGCCCGGGCGCCGCGACCGCTCAGGAAAACCGCACGCACGCCGGCCGTAGACAGGGCATCGATCAGCGGGGGTGCATGCTGCCGCAAGATGGGAAGGCCAGGGCGGGAGCCAAGTCAGTGGGAGGGGCCAAGACCGATGTCGGGGGAGAGAGAGAGAGAGAGAGCGAGCGAGTGAGCGAGTGAGCGAGTGAGCGAGTGAGCGAGACAAAGGGATGGGAAAGGATGAAAAGAGGGAGCGCACAGGCCGGGCCACATCGCCGATGATTGAAAAGCCGCAGAAAATCTGCCGGGCGAGGGCAGTTGAGATATTCGAGATGATCGGAGCCGGAGACCCATCCCCCGGCTGCGCGTCCCAGTCCGAAGCGCCGCCGCTCATGGCAGCCCAATCTCGAGTGTTGCTATGCACCCCGGCGCCATGGTCTTCGGACACGGTGGAAGGGGCGTGCATGTAGTCAATCTGCCGCATGCATGTCACAAGAGGGTGAGTATTCCACCGATTGAGGCTGGGACTTGGGGAAGAGAGAAGGCCAGAGGGCAGGATCGGGGAGGGGGAGGGAAGAAGGAGGGGAAATGCGCGAGGCCCAATGTCTTGACACACCTTCTCGGGCATGCGAACTGGCAGCACAATGGGCGGAAGGGCCTCGCCAGGCTTGCTGCTAAAGTGCACCCGCCCGCGGGACTTAGAGGACTCGGTTCGCAGGCCGATGATCGGCGATTTGGGCGAGATGATGAGAGGACGATAGGAGTACGCCACAACCAGACAGTCACGACCGCGCGCGTCGCGAACATACTCGCGCAGCTGCTTCAGGACCTGTGACCATCGGAGGGAAGATGATGTTAGGCGAGTGGCAGAAGGAAAAAGGGAAAAAAGAAAAGGAAGGTCACAAGGTCAAAGGAAGAGGAAGGCGGACCTCCTGGTTGAAGGGCACCACCTCGGTGCCATCCCAGTAATGCGTGCAATAGGACAGCACCAGCTCGGGCGTGCCCTCCGACAGGAGCTGATAGCCAGCTGGGAATAGGGCGATGGGGGGGGGGGGGGGGGGGGGGGGGGGGGGGGCGGCCGGGAGGGGGGGGGGGGGGGCGGCGGGGGGGGGGGCGGGGGGGGGGGGGGGGGGGGGGGGGGGGGGGGGCAGAGAGAGAGATGATGAAGAAGTAGGTGAGCGGGCGCACGGACAAAAGGACATGCCCATGTGGCTGCGAGTCGGGGAGGAGGAGCGAAGGACAGCAAGAGCAAGGGGGGGGAGGAAGATGCAGTCAGCGACCATGCAGGGACAAAGAAGGGGTGAGTGAGACGCGCGTACAGGAGCCCTCGGAGGGAGCCAAGATGGTGGAGACCATGGATGCCATGAAGGTGCCCACGCCGACGGCCAGCCCGGTGGCCGGGATCGACACCGGTGCCCGGCTGCCCGGTGCCCAGGGAACAGTGTAGATCGACCGGACCGGGGAGAAAGCGGACCGAACGTCATCCGCATTGAAGCCCATCGTCTGGGCAATCGGCGCGAGGCTCACTTGTTGGGCGGGGAGTGGCCAAGGAGAGGGATGAAAGGGGCGGGCGGTGTCAGGGGAGCTGGGCCTTGCATGCCACAGTTGACCAGCACAAAGCCCCAAGGGATGGTGGCCGCATTCGGGGGGGGGGGGGGGGGGGGGGGAGAAGACGCACGCCGACGGGCCAGAGACAGGCGCCCGAAGGATGACAGCCACACACGCTGGAGGATGTGCAAGTCGGGGAAGGGCTTGCTGGAGGACTCGCCCGAGGGCGGGGAAGCTGTCCCGTCCTCGGCCGGGAAGGACATTCCCGGGGAGGGCAGCATGTCGGTGGCCAGGGCATGGAGGTTGGCCACGGAAAAGCACGAAGTCGGGCCACCAGTGAAGCGAGGAGGCTGGCGCGAGCCCTTTCGAACCGGGGAGCTTGCGTAGACATTGCCTGCAGGAAGAAGCCATGTAATGTCAGCAGACCGATGCATGGGAAGGACTTGCGACAAAGAGGGATGCCAGGGGGCGGAGGGACCAAAAGCGGCACGCACAGACGGAACAAAGGTCCTTGATCGGCAGTTCGGATGGGTCCCAGCCGACGCCGGAAGACGCCCAGGCCACCGGGGCTACACATGTGCATGTATCCGCCGGGATGGAGGCGCCAGGCTCCGGATGGCCGGTGCGAGTGGAAAAGTACGTCTGGCAGACGCCACACAGTCGTCCATACGATGGGCAGCCGGGGGCATGGGAGGAGGCCCGATCCAGCTCCGAGAAGGGGTTGTTGTTCAGCAGGAAGTTGAAGCCCAGGGGCTTGAGGGATCTGTCATTTCGTAGGACAACCCGTTGGAGGGTGCAGAGAGAGAGAGAGAGGGGGGGGGCCGGAGGCAGAGGGAAGGGGGGTGAGAAGGCATCTGGCCATTCAAAAGGATTGCCACATTGTCCTGAATGAGGAATGCCCGACATGCGGGAGGGCAAGAGAGAGGGGGCGAGGGAGCAATGCACGTGGGGAAAAAAAACGCACCCGAGGTATTGTTCCCAATTTGACAGGTCGAGGAAGAGACCGTGCACACTCTGTACACTGTAGGAGCAGGAGGCCGAGGCACTGTGAGAGGTGGGGCACTTGAGCGGTTCCAGGGTCCGGCCAATGGGAATTTGAACAAGTTCACCGCCGGGCGACACAAAAGACACTTCGAATGCTTGAGGAAGGGGCTAAATCGAGGGAGTGGCGAGCGTAGGGCAGGGCAGGGGGGAAAGGGCGGCAAACACCAGCTTAGTACGAGAGAGGGAGAGACAGGGCGAAAGAGAAAGAGAGAAAGAGTATGTGTGTGTGTGCGCGCGCGCGCGTGTGTGTGTGTGTGTGTGTGTGTGTGTGTGTGTGTGTGTGTGTGTGTGTGTGTGTGTGTGTGTGTGCGTGTGCGTGTGCTGGAAGGTACCTCCGACAGGAGCCCCTCTCGGCCCAGGGTGCAGAAGACATCCATGGTGGCCAGCGCGGTGACCGGACAGATGCCCACCTCTTCGAGCATCCGCCGGGGCCGGCGCCGGCTTTCCGCCCGACGCCCGAGGCACAGGCTACCGAGGATCCCGCCGCCGGTGGCGGAGCTGGCACTGGAGCCGGAACGGGCAGACGAGTTGTCCCAGGTGGGGAAGTGCGGCAAGAAAGCCCGAGACATGAGCGCCGGGAAGAGGGTGCCAAAGCGCGTGAAGAAGACCGGCTCGGCATCGCGGCCGGTCAATAGACCCCACCACACTCGAAGGATCTCGCTCAGGGGCACATCGACCTCGCTGTGGTCGGCAAAGGCCCGGCTGCTGCTGCTGCTGCTGCTGCTGCCGCCGGTGGCGGACTCGGGGGAGTCGCTTTGCTGGTAGTACAGCGGAACGGCGTTGCTCTTGTTCCCGGTGCCGGTGGCAATCCAGCCCAGGTAGTCTCGGCTGTAGGTCCGTGGCGAAGAGAGCCCGGCCAGGCGGTCCAACAGCCGGGAGATCAGCGGTGCCGGCTGGGGAGAGCGTGCCCGGGCGCCTGGAATGTCGTGCTCCTCCGCCAGCAACTGACGTGCCCAATCCCGGTAGGGGTGGTGCGCGGTCAACACACGCCGGTGAAGAGCCCGCGTGCGGGCCACCAGCGATGCGGTGGCCGCCAGGTGTGATAGAGCCCGCGTGGCGGGGTTGATGGCAGCCGAGATCAGCAGCAGGCCGATCGCAATCGACGAGCAATGAACCATCTGTGCGGGCCAATGGAAGCGAGCGCTGTGTTTCCGAGTCAATTACGGGTCCAACCAGAACCAGGGCATGCTCTTTGGGCGAGGAGCCGAACGGCCGCGATGGGGACAGAGAGGCAGAGCAAAGGATGGCACGCACTCGGGCAGGATCAGCACCAAGGCCACGCAGGCCGCGGTGGCCACCAGGAGGAAGAGGAAGGACCCGTGCACGGCCAGCGACAGCTCGAGCAAGGCAACTCGGACCGAAGGATGCCCGAGACTGGTGAGCTGGGCAGAAATGCCCCCATACCCCGGGGCCATGGAGGAAGAGGCGGGCTGGCTGTTCTTGGACAGGAGGTTGGTCCGGCCACGAGGTGACCCGGCAGTCATGGCTTCCGACCGGGGGAGCAACTGCCCGATGTTGGAATCCGCCACCAAATCCAGAGACCGTTGGAGCAGACGCCGGGCCGGGAGAGTCGGATCATCCAGGACCAAACCATAAACAAAGGCCGCGCCACTGGGAGCGCTGGCTGTCAGTTCGCCGGCCACCAAATGCCGTCGCGGGGGGGCTGCTGCCCGGACCGAGGGGGCTACCACGGCGGCCGCCGCCACCGAGGAGTAGGTGGCCCGCGTGGACCGGGGCCCGGGCCGGGAGCCAGTCGCGGCGATGGGCGGGCCACCCTCCTCGCCGGGAGCCGGGACAAGGCGCAAGTTGCAAGGGGCCGAGTCACCGGGTGCCAGACGAACCAAGTCCCCCGGGGCCAGGAGACTGAGGGGAACCTGGGCGACGGCACTGGGCCGAGCGGTGGTCGAGCGCCGGGACCCTTTGGCCGTGAAATACTCCGATCGATCGGATCGAAGAGATGGCCGAACCACTGCCACCGTCTCATGGAGGGCGATGTGCTCGGGCTGTTGATCGGAGATCCGAGGCGGG